TTTTTTTAAATTTGGCCGACCCTGAGAACGAGTTTCGGAGAGGGCCTGTCGACCCTCAAAGGGTTAAATTGATTTGCACGCAGGGATCCTAGTGTGTTCTGGTAATGAATTCCAGATCTTTGGGCCCTTTACGTGCATAGCATTTTTGCACAGGGAGAGATGGACACGAGGGATACCAAAGAGTTTTTTGTGTCTAGTATTATGGTTGTGTGTTCTGTTGTAGTTATCAAGTAGGAGTTTGAGAGGAGTGTTTATATTTGAGTGTAGTGTTCTGTGCATGTAGTAGGCACAATAATAAGTGTGGATGCTTTGCATATTAAGTTAAGACTCTTGAAGAGCAGAGGGGTATGCTGTCTGTTACAGGAGTTTGTAATCAATTGCACTGCAGTTTTTTGTTGGGTTATTAAAGGTTTAAGGTGATTTACTGTGGTTGAGTCCCATGCACAAATACCATAGGTGAGGCAAGGGTAGATGAGTGAGTGGTATAGTGCAGGAAGAGCTGATCGGGGTACATAGTACCATATCTTTGAGAGTGATCATCCAAGTTGATATTTTTAGTAGTTCGGCATTTACAGTGTCTGTTAGTGTGGTTGGGTTTGAGTGAGAGAAGACATAAGTAGTGTCAGCTGCAAATAAAATGGATTTAAGGAGTTTGGATGTATTTGAGAGGTCATTGATGTAAATGAGAAAGAGAAGTGGGCCACGGACACTACCCTGTGGTACTCCAACAAGAACTGGTTGTGTAGTGGAGTTAGCTCCATTGTGTATACTTACTGGGTTTTATTGCTAAGATAAGATTTTAGGTAATCAAGAGAGAGTCCTCTGACCCTGTACTGCTCAAGTTTTTGGTGCAATAGGTCATGGTCAACTGAATAAAAAGCTTTTCATTAGTCCATGAAAAGTCTCAGGGGAAATTTGTTTTCTTTTTTTTCGAGTGCTGAATGTATTAGCTCAAGCATGTATATAATTGCATCATTAGTACTTTTTTTGGTCTGAATCCAAATTGACAGGGGTTGAGTATGTTGTAGGATACTAAGTAGGAGTAGACTTGTTGGTGAATTAATTTTTGAAGATTTTAGACAGTAGGGGCAAGTTTGATAAAGGCCTATAGTTGTTCAACTCAGTTGGATCACCTCCTTTGAGGATTGGGGGTGACCCTTGCTGTCTTGAGTGAGTATGGATGGGAAGGTGGAACATTCAATGGATTTGTTAAACAGAGTTGCAATAATTGGTGACAATACATGAGAAGCTTTTTTATATATGAGTGGTGGTAAGTTATTTAGGTCACCTGTCATGTTCTTCAATGTTTTGATGATGAGCTAGATTTCAGGAGGATTTGTTGGGCTAAAAATAGAGTATTTGGGTAGTTGCCAGTGAGGTAGTCTTTTGGTTGAATGCTCGAGTTTGGAATTTTGCTTGCTAGCCTTGATCCTATGGTTGAGAAAAAGACATTAAGTTTGTTGGCAGTATCGGTTGACTGGAGAAGTTCGTCTGGTTTCGTTAAGCTAATCATTATGTTTTGTGACTTTTTTTGATCCTAGGATTTCCAATAAGGTTTTCCAGGTCTTTTTCACATCACCTTTCATGTCATGAAATCTGTTTTCGTAATACAGTTTTTTTTACCTTATTAGATTGGTTAGTATTGTCGAGTAATGTTTACCCATATCCTTTGTTATTAGACCCATTCTGTACTGTTTTTCATATAGGTGTTTTTTATCAATAGATTTGAGGATGCTGTTTGAAAGCCATGGGCTCTTTAGTCTCTTAGTTGTGATCTGCTTAGTTTTTATCAGGCAATGCATTTTATAGAGGTTTTGGGTTTTTGTAAGAAAATATTAACACATTCCTCAATATCAGTTTTAACTGCTAGCTCGTTTTGGCAGTCAACGTTACTTAATGCTCAAATAAAGTTATTGACAAATGACTCGTGATGCAGTCAGAAGGTGATCTTAGTTGTGTCCTGAGGTAATTTACTTAAGTTGGTTATGAGAAAGGTGTGATAGTGGTCAGTGGTGTTATCTGTGATTATGCCTGATTTTAATGGGGATATTATGTTTGTCCAGATATGGTCTAGTAATGAGGCATTTGTATCGGAGGTTCTAGTAAGTTTTGTTATTGCTGGCAGAGGCAAGCAGCTGCTCATAGTGTTTGTGAATTCAGCTACTTGAGGGTCATGGTCATGGATGAGGTTTATGTTGAAGTCCCCTGTAAGAATCATGTGGTGTTTATTCATCTCTGCATCAGTTATCATGTTTCTTAATTTTTTACTAAATGAGTAAATATTGGAGTGAGGTACTCTATAAATCTTTAGATTTAAATTTAGCAAATGTATATTCACCATATTCATCCCTAGTGCAAGTAGAATTTATACATTCAAGTTCATCGTTCATCATCAACACTCTTAAAAACAAGGCAGGAGACATAAACAACTTGCCTACTTTTATGTACAAAAAAGCTTCACAAGTACTGTCACAAATTATTGCAACACTCTTTAACAAATCCATTGAATCCTCCACCTTCCCAGCAGTTCTCAAAATAGCTAGGGTTACCCCAATCCGCAAAGGGGGTGATCAAGCCAACTTGAATAACTATAGACCAATTTCTAACTTACCACTAGTACTCTCTAAAATCTTTGAAAAAATTAATTCATAGACGGATCTATTCCTACCTCATCTCAAACAACATACTACTAAACCCCTGTCAGTTTGAATTCAGGAATAATAAAAGCACAAATGATACTATTATACACATGCTAGAACTAATGTATACCACTCTCGAGAAGAAAGAAGCCCCGCTGGGAGTTTTCATTGACTTACATAAAGCTTTTGATACAGTCGACCATGAACTGCTGCACACTAAATTAACACACTATGGAATAAGAGGCCACACCCTCAACTACCTAAAGTCATAACAGAAGCCAATACGTGTACGCAAATGGTGCAAACTCTTCCACACAACCAATCACAGTAGGAGTCCCACAGGGAAGTGTCCTTGGACTGCTCCTCTTTCTCATCTACATCAATGACCTACCAAATGATATTATTTGCAGATGACACTACATATGGCTTCTCCCACCCAAACCCAGTCATACTCGCCAACACTGTCAATGCTGAATTGCAGAAAATATCTACCTGGATGATGACTAATAAACTTACCCTAAATACTGACAAAACCTATTTCATTCAGTTTAGAACCAGGGCTGCAAATGTTCCACTTAACATAACACTAAATGGATCACCCATCACAAGACTCGCAGAGGGAAAACTCCTAGGAATCCACCTAGATAGTAGCCTCAAATTCCAGACACATATACAACAAATTTCCAAGAAAATCTCTAAGACAATAGGCATACTATCAAAGATATGGTACTATGTTCCACAATCAGCTCTCTTTGCACTGTATCATTCACTCGTTTACCCTTATCTCACATATGGAATTTGTGCATGGGGATCAACAACATCAAATCACCTAAGGCCTCTAATAACCCAGCAAAAGGCTGCAATCAGAATGATAACAAATTCCCACTCAAGACAGCATACTCCACCTCTATTCAAAAGTCGAAATTTGCTCACCATAAAGAACATCAACACTCATTCATGTGCCTACTACATACATAGAACAATACATGCTAACATAAACCCTCCACTCAAACTTCTCCTTACCAACCTTAACAAGACACACGACCATAACACAAGACACAGATCTCTTTTTGATGTACCTCGTGTCCGTATCACACTGTGTAAAAACTCTATGAACATCAAGAGCCCCAAAATTTGGAATTCATTACCAGAACATACTAAAGTAACCAGGCCTGAAAACCAATTTAAGACTCTTCTAAAAAACCACTTACTCGCCCAGGACTAAATAATCAACACTCAATATTTACCATTACCAATAAATCTCCCAATTATTTAAATCTTAAAATTTCAGGACAACATACAGTAAATTGATCATCTTGTTTGTTATACATTGTAATGCGACAAATTTGTAAAACTAATAAATAACAAAAAAGGCACAATACCGTGACTGGAACGATACACAAATAACCCGCACATAAAAGAGAGAAGCTTACGACGACGTTTCGGTCCGACTTGGACCATTGACAGTGTGACTTTGTCAATGGTCCAAGTCGGACCGAAACGTCGTCGTAAGCTTCTCTCTTTTATGTGCGGGTTATTTGTGTATTGTAAAACTATAATGCTTCAAAATCAAAATGTTCAAATTTCATCGTTTCAGATACTCAATTGTACTTCATATCGTAAATTGTTTATGGTAATTTTTACCACTGAACCCATCACTGCTTGCTAATTTTAAGTTAATTTTAAGCCTGCCCATAATGCTCTGCATACAAGGGGCTTTTGGCATGCACACCCAACTACTATAATTCCTTTTACAATTATGTATCATATCCAAATAAGCTATATGAATATGAATATATAGCTGTTCCACCACCTAATTTGATAGACTTGAAGCCTAACAAAAAAATAAACCCATGTGTAAATTAAGTCTGTAAGGAAAATATTGATTTACTTCTCTGAAGTTATGGTACACTACATGATGGTTTTTATATTTGGGGGAAGAATTAATTTTTTTTTTTTAACTTTGGCCATCTCCCACTGAGGCAGGGTGACCCCCCCCCCCCAAAAAAAAAAAAAAAAAAAAAAAACTTTCACCATCATTCACACAATCACTGTGTTTGCAGAGGCACTCAGATATGCCAATTTAAATGTCACTCCAAACAGCTAATATCCCAAACCCCTCCATTAAAGAGTAGGCATTGTACTTCCTACCTCCAGGACTCAAGTCCAGCTAACCAGTTTCCCTGAATCCCTTCACAAAATATTAACCTTGGAGGCAATCAAGTTCAAGCCAAGGAAGGCTAGGCCCAATTCCTTGCATTATAACCCCTCACTGGCATCAAGGAACCTCTGGGGGGGGGGAGGATGATGGTACATATTGTTGTATAAATGCTGGTGCTAAAGATCTTGCACTGATTTCAGATGCATACTCCGTTATCTTTGGGTCCTCTGATGTGTCTGTGGCTGCAGGAGGGACACTGTACTTGCTATGTATGGTTCTCCAAGTCAGTGATATACCAGATTATATCTTGTGGTACCATAACAGTCAAGTTATTGACTACTCTAGAAGTAGTATTTCAGTAAGTAGTGTTCTACTTATTTCTTAGTTTACATTTCATAAAAAGTAGTCTGTAGGCAGTGGCGGGTCATGTATAGGCACTGCAGAGCTGCAGCACACCCTATTTTCACTCAATACTATCGATAACATTCAATATAATGAGTCTTTTTTTTTCTTTAATTCTTGCTTTATACTTGTACATTATATGATCCTTAAGCTTATTGTCAGTAGCCATCCCCTAGTACATGAAAAAATTACAAAATTTCTTGTTTGGAATTGTGCTTCACAGTTCCAGCGACTGTTTGGCTGTTGTGCACATGCGCACATGTCCGAGATAAGATGTTGCATGCTAGGTAGAGCACTGTCACTGATGCAGTGCCGACCCTGTTGTGCAAGTGTAAGGTAGTGTTTCTTTTTGACTCAGCAACGCGTGATGTGCTTATAAACCAAGTACCATATTCTTGAATGTGATAAAGTGTAGAATGAGATGATTATCATGCCTCCAGCATGATAATCATCTCATTCATTTCAGTTCTTTTAATTTACACAATGTTAACCCTTAAACGGTACAAATGTATATATACGTTCACCTGCACAGCGCCCTGAATATTCTGAGGAAAAGAAAAAGAGCATGTGGTACCCAGGCACTCCCCAATTTTTTTCATATGGCGCACACTGAGTGCACACACCCATTCTCTCATGTCTAGGTGACTCAGGCCTATCGTGCCAATGTTGAATGAATGTCAAATGGAACGTATATATACGTTTGGGGTGCTACGCGAGAGAACATATATATACGTTTGGACCGTTTAAGGGTTAAAACAATGGCTAAAAATTTTCTGAAGCAGCAGCACCACTAATTTTAGCTATGAGCCACTACTGTAGGTTCTTCAGTTTTAATTGGAATAAACTTTATAGTAATGTTACTTCAGTGCTGCATATGGCATTGACCAATTTTTTGTTTTTGGGTATAAAATATTACTCATGTAATCAAGATAGTTCAGGCATGTCAAATCATAAAAATCACTTGCTCATTTCTCTCTAACATATTCATACAAGCCTGTTTGTTGTCCAAGTTCCTATCACTCAAAATCTGTACCCCCCTCTCTCCAACCATTCCTAGGATGACCTCTGCCCCTTCCCTCCACCTCAGATTTATGCTGTCCTAGGCACCTTATTTTTTTCTCTATCCTCTCAAAATGTCAAAACCACCTCAACAACCCCTCCTATATGTATTATAAAAAAAATTATCCCTTAGGTGAAGATAGAAGAAGAGACGAGATCAAGTGAGCTACAAGTTCGAAACATTAATTATACAGATGCTGGGAATTACACCTGTGTTCCATCTAATGCTACACCAGCCTTTGTTTCCATTGCAGTATTCAAGGGTGAGTTTTTAATACCATTGAATTTTCAAATATCTGGCTAAAAGTTGTTATATTAAGATCAAAACTGAAGACTTCTTTCATACCAATAGTCTACATTCACTTAGTATGATGTACATGTTGTTCAAATTATTTTTACATTCATAGGGAATGCTAAACTTGTAGAGGTCATACAAAGATGATTAACTCTTAAACTGTCCAAATGTAGACCTACATTCACTCACGTGGGACTCCGAATATTTTGAAAAATATTTTTTTTTTCTTTTAAAATGAAGAGCACATTTTTCTACATGTTATAGGATAAAAAAAAAATTTAGGGTCAGTACTTACCGAGATATAAGACCGCGAAGTTGGCTCTGGATGCTCACCGGAAGGCTGCATTGACTCCTGCAGCTTGCAGAAGTGCTGCTGATATACCTTTTTTCCTTGTTTTTATTTTAATTTATATATTTTTTATGTTCTGATAATTACAATTTATAATAGTTCTTGTGATTTCATAGCCTGCCTTTGTTCTGACACTAATATTAGGTACTAAAATAGTGCTCAAATAGTCACAATCACATTGACAGGTGAACATTTACACCTGCCTTGGGCTATTTACTATTGTCTAGAAATATATACAAAGTATTTATAGGTCCCAGCAATGTTTTAGATACCCTGGCGTATACCTTGAAGCATGGTGTTATGAAAGGCATCCCTATACTGTTGACAGCCTAGTGATATTTGATAAATGCCCACTGCTCCAGCCAACCCTCTCTGTATTCGTTATCACTCGTACACACAAACATGTCTTTTCTGCCTGTCTATCTATCTTTGCCTGGAATTTTTGGGTTATCCTAAGTAATTTACACTATGTATAATAACTGTACCTAAGTATTTATCTAACCTATTTTTACTTTCCTCTTAAAATGGGAGTGTTAATGCGACATGGCATCTAGCTGGTGCTCAATTGAACTGATGCTCCCACAAGGTCCTAAATGCTCCCCAATTTTTTTAATACTGCGCACACTGAGTGCACATACCCATTTTTTCATGTCTAGGCAACTCAAGCCTATTGTGCTAAATTTGAAGGAATGAAAAATAAAACGATCTACGTTTGGAGCGTTACGCGTGCAAACGTAGATCTACGTTTGGAGAGTTTAAGGGTTAAAGCAAAAAAGATAATGTAGACACTGAGTATCTTGACAGTTTAGTAATGGTCATTAACTACATACAAGATTTTGGATGGGGATGAACAAAAGGCACAGACACAGTTCTTGATGGAGAATATTAAGTTTGGAAAAATAAGTTGTTGAAGTAGATCAATACACTTTAATCTCCATGTTAGTTTAGATAGAGGGAATTCCATGTAAATAAACAAAATAAAAAGAACTTGCCTATTGCCTGTCCCCTCCACCAGCTAAAATGTCACAAAATTGTAAGATTCAGTATGCTATAACATAAAACTTTCAGGGCTCATGCCTGTAATTTTTCATGACATGAAACGGAAGCCAAGAAACTGAAGTTCTAATAGCTAAAATAGGGAAAATCATACAGGGGTAGTCCAAAATGGAATGACAGAGCAATGATTTAATATGATTCTTTTGGATACTGGGAACTTGAAGCCATGTGATATAGCCTAACTGAAATTAGTCACTGTACTCTTTATGTAGGTGGATATTTGCTGAATGTTTATGCCAGCACAATCAGTGGCAATTATTATTATAATCAAAAAGAACCGCTAAGCCACAAGGGCTATACAGCGCTGCAGGGTAGGGAAGGAAGCGAGGGTATCGGGCAGCAGAAGGGGGGGAGGGATGAATAGTAGGTTACAGAAAACAGTGGGGCAGGGGTAGAGGGTAGCAAGAGATTGAGGTAGAAAGGGCTGAAGGTATCATCAGAGTTTGTAAAGTAAGTCAGTTGTTGTCAAAAAGTCAATGAGAGAGTCCGGATGAAAGGTGGGTCCATCAGCGAGAAGGGAAGGTAAAGAGAGAGCAGTGAAGTGAAGACGACAACGGAGGTAAATTCTGCATGCTCGTTGATAAAGTGGGCAGTCTAACAGAATGTGGCTGACCGATAAGGGAACCTGACAATTCTCAGAGAGGAGCAGGGCGCCTCTCCATGAGATATCCATGAGTAAGACGAGTATGGCCAATGCGAAGGTGGGAGAGAGTAGTCTCCCAACCTCGACACTGGTGACAAGAAGACGGCCAGTAACCTCTACTCGGTTTAATAGAACAAAGTTTGTTATTGAGCAGAGCAGACCAACGTTGTTGCCAACGGGTGTGAAGGTGAGTAGCTATTACAGCAAAATAGTCCGGAAATGGAACACCTCTATATGAAATTGGTAGGTCATGTACTGCTGACCGTGCAGCAGTGTCTGCCTGTTCATTGCCCTGTACGTCAACATGACCAGGGATCCAACAAAAAACAACATCTTTATGCTTGGTAGAGATATGGCGTAGCCAAAGTTGGATATGGAGAACTAGAGGGTGAGGTGTATCAAATTTCTGTATAGCCTGTGGAGCACTAAGGGAGTCTGAGACAACCACAAATGATGACACAGGCATAGATGTGATATGAATAAGTGCTGCAAGAATGGCAGACAATTCAGCAGTAAAAATGCTAGCCGAAGATAGTAAATGCCCTCGTACGACGCTGTCTGGAATCACTGCTGTGAATCTGACGCCGTCAGAAGATTTTGAGCCATCTGTGTACACGGTGATGGCATGAGAATGAGAGTGGAAGTGGTCAAGAAAAAGAGAGCGGGAAGCCACCGTAGGCAGTTGGGCTTTCGAGCAAGGGAGTGAGAAAGAACAGACCCGAACAGCTGGAACTTCCCAGGGAGGTAAGAAAAAGTGAGATGCTATCTGAACATATAAAGGCAGTAACTGAAGGGAAGACAAGAGCGAATGTAGGTGAAGAGAGAAGGGACGGAGCAAACAGGGGCAGCGAACAAATAAAGAATGTCTACTAATATCAGTGACCATTCTATAAATGGAAGGATTGCGGAGATCGTGAGAGCGCACATAGTAGCGAAGGCAATGGGCATCACGGCGATCAGACAAGGATGGAACATTCGCTTCTGCATAGAGGCTCTCAACAGGGGAAGAGCGAAAAGCACCAAGGCATAAATGTAATCCTTGGTGATGGATGGGGTTAAGGCTAGAGAGAGTAGCAGGAGAGGCCACTGAATAGATCTGGTCACCATGATCGAGTTTTGATAAAATGAGGGCTGAATGTAGGCGAAGGAGAGTTTGATGATCAGCTCCCCGTGAAAGATGAGCAAGGGTTTTAAGAAGGTTCAGCCAGCTGTGACAAGTTGCCTTTAGAGAGGTAATGAGAGATTTCCAGGATAACCTATGGTCAAAGAGAAGGCCTAGAAACCTGACTGTATCACATTCAGGGATACGGGAGCCATAGAGGTACAAAGGATGATTGGAGATGACAGAGCGTCTAGTGAAAGTAATTTGGCGAGTTTTGGTACTGGAAAATTTAAACCCATGCATGGTGGCCCAATTGGAAACACAGTCGACCGCATGCTGGAGAGAAACTGTAATGAGGTGACAGCACCTGCACAAGCAATAGTGAAGTCATCTACATAGAATGATGACCAAATATTGGATTGAAGAACAAAGACCAAATCATTTATAGCAAGGAGAAAAAATGTTGTGCTCAGAACACATCCCTGAGGGACACCTTCAGCTTGGACAAAGTCAGGGGAGAGCACATTATTGACTCGAACACGGAAATGTCTGTCAGTTAAAAAGTTCTTAAGGAAAGATGGTAGATTGCCTCGGAGGCCTAAGGAGTGGGCTTGGGCCAAAATATTATACCTCCAAGTTGTGTCATATGCCTTCTCAAGGTCAAAAAATATGGCAATAACAAACATACATATCCAAAAATAGTAAGGGGTCCATGGTAGAACAGCCCTTACAAAAGCCATATTGACGAGTGGAGAGACTGTTGTGTGTCTCTAAATACACCTACCATCCGACTTACGACCAAGCTTGGTTCCGACCAACCGGTCGTAAGTCAAAATGGACGTAAGTCGAATCTTTGAAAATTGCCAACATACTGGGTAGGGCATAATGTCAAACTTTTCCTATATAAACTACCTACATAGTACTGTAATGTAATGTACAATCATTATTTCATTCTTTTTACCATAATTTACTTCTGTTGTTATATTTTAATTATTTATGTACTGTATATAATGTATACATGGTAGTGAACTGTATTGTAAATTTTACATCGCATACAGTATCATATGTTACTGTTATCTTTATGTATTGTCGACACAGTGAATGGGAGAATACCACTGGTAGTGTCATCCTGCCAGAATGTAGTATAACCTATACCCTAAGTAAAGAGAAACAACTCTGGAACATGTGTAATACGTAGCTGGCTGGGTGGCCGGGTGAGTAGGTGGCCAGGTGGATGGTTGGCTGACTGAATGTGGCTCTCTCTCTCTCTCTCTCTCTCTCTGTCTCTCTCTCACACACAAGTACACGTAAGTGAAGTTATCATACATAGTATAAATTACCTAGGATAACCCAAAAAATCCAGACAAAGTGCTATACAGTTGATCTGTGCTCCAGTGCCCTAAATTAATAATAATACAGTGGACCCCCGGTTAACGATTTTAATCCGTGCAAGAGGGCTCATCGTTATGCGAAATAATCGTTATGCGAATGAATTTTCCCCATAAGAAATAATGGAAATCAAATTAATCCGTGCAAGACGCCCAAAAGTATGAAAAAAATTTTTTTTTACCACATGAAATGTTAATTTTAATACACACAAACTGAAAAAGGCATGCACAATTAAATGACACTTACTTTTATTGAAGATCTGGTGATGATTGATGGGATGGGAGGAGGGGAGAGCATTATCTTCTTACTGTTTAGAAGGGGAATCCCCTTCCATTACAACTTGAGGTAGCAAGTCCTTTTCCGGGGTTACTTCCCTTCTTCTTTTAATGCCACTAGGACCAGCTTGAGAGTCACTGGACCTCTGTCGCA